AGTATTATCCCACTGCCAGGGGAAGGCTGTTTCCTCTCGTGATGTGTAAACGAGGAGAAGAGGGTAGAAAGAGAGAGTGGCCATACATAGCGGGCAGAGGGACAGGAGTGTGGAAGACTCTCCGCTTCCACTTTCGGCAAGTGGCCAGGGGCTTCGGAAGATATCCATCTCCGACGGTGCATTTCCTGTCACTCTCCTTGTGACAAGATACCCCGACGGAGCCATATCTTCCTACACTTTGTATGTGCACACATGGTTGGTTCTACTCCTGACAGGTGTCCTCCACAGGTCCGTTTCATTATTTTAGTTCCCATCACATGATCCGCATCTGAACACGTTGACAACACACGCCACCCCTCGCGCTCTGCAGCATCAAGGACGTATCCGCTATCATCATCATTCAAGGTCATAAGGTCTATAGCAGCACTGCTGCTGCGTGTCCGCCTAGCCGCTCCATGGTCGTAACCCACAGAAGCATGGCCGCAGCAGAATAGGAGGAGGCTGGTGTCCATCTCCAAACTCACACTCCTCGGTCCCGAACAGGGGGGGATGATATGATACGACCCCCGCCCGGATATTGTCGCGCGCGAGTGTTGAGTTGACCGTGTGGGCATTAAACACGTCGTGGGCCGCGTCTCGTCGCAATAGTTACAGTAGGCTAGACACAGCAGCAGTCGTATGCAATAGCGCAACGAACGATAACAACATATTCTTCCCCGATCAATAACATGCGAAGGTGTACCGATTCTGGTAAAAGTCAAGCGACGGATACCCTGCGAACTCTCCACCCACAGAATTTACCCTCAACTGGGAACGAACTTCTTGTGGCCAGGATGGGTAATTCGATGGAAGTGTCACAAGGTTTTCTTTATAGGATCGATTCCAAGAGGTGTTCTCAGGACTGACACACATTGTGTCCATGGGAAAATGTCCAAGCCAGGAGAAAAATTGTGCACCCAAGGAGATTCGAATGAGTATCATCCTGCCTGCCGCTGACGCCACATGCGAAGGTGTACTGGTTCTGGTAAAAGTCAATCGACGGATACCCTGCGAATCGGGGCCTCCTTAACAAACACCTATAACACCACCAATAAATACTCCAACATTGGAGCACCACCACTAACAGAGTACAGCAGCAACAAAAGCACGACTGAAGTACGGGGGTTGGCTCCGTAGCAACTTGAAGAGCGAGCAGGAGGAAAAGCCCATGTATGTGTCATTGACACGGCATAAGTAGGAAAGGTTGAGAAATTACGCGTTGTTCGAGGCTACAGGTAATTGTAGGCTTCGTAGGTTGATTGGCAACAACTACTAACTGTGTTTGTCGGCAAACACAGACCTACGAAGTACCAGGCACAACGAACGTTGAATTGTCTGTGCTCCCGAAGGATCAAGTCGACAACATTCATTCCTAGGCTATGGCGACCTTCCGGCCACTCTGTCTACGACGCGTGAAAACAGTGTAGGTTGGAGGGCCTGACCTGTTTCCAGTAGTAACCAGAAATAAATGTTTCGGTCCTTTTTTGGTTCGACAAAAAATTTTAGTTGTTGTCAATTAAAAGTTTTATTCTCAATGAATGATCAGGATCGGGCTAAAATAAGAAGAATCGCCGGAGGACTAACAGCACGCAACTTTTTTTATATTTCTTGTTAGGTCAGGCATGCAGCATACCGTATACGACACAAAAAATCACACCCCGGGGATAACGTTTTGGCGTTTCTAAATATCATCACTGTGAATGCCACCTCAGACTGTCGTCGATTGTGACGTCAGACGACCTGTCGGAGATCTACCTTCGGGGTGTTGCCACATATAGAGTCAGTGTGGGATGGATGCTTAACCTTGCTTCAACACAAGGTTGCTCCCCACCTGACACTCTCACAACTAGCCGTAACCTTCAGCCTCTTCACCAGAGGTTGAAGGGGTGTGTATCCACACCACACATTAAAAGAGGAACCTCGAGACAACAGAATCATAGTGGTTAGAGCGGCAGGATGTATTCGGTGGGTGTGTGATATCTTATGTAGTAGCCCAGGTGATAAAGTGCGGCCGTTGTAGCCATGGAGGGGGGCTGATATTTAGGGGGTGTCATACCCCTGCCACACACTTGCGGTGACCGAAAAGGTGTGTGGTAGCAAAGGGGCGTGGTACCAAAGGGGTGTGATACCCAGAGGTTGTGATAGCCATATAGGTGTCGTATTCAGGGGATGTGATACCACTCACTGCCGCACACTAGGGGCCGCCGAAGGGTGTGCTGGCGCCTACAAAGAACACGTGTAGCGAGTGTGATAGTACTGCTGCCGCATTTGCAGGGCATTGGTACGTAGGAAGCGTGGGCAGGGGTGATGACCGGGGACCAGATAAACCTGCTGATCACATGATCATCACCGGGATCATCCCGGTGATGAACGCCAACAGCGCTCTCATCAATTAATTACAGCGAATGAAAGATTGATCTGCCACGCAACGAGAAAAATATATACCATATAAACATACAAGGCGTCCCTCCGGAGTGGGGTAAAGAGAGCACGGCGGCAAGGGGTGATGCAAGAACATGGGATAAGCTACCAGCAGAGAAACGACAGCAGTAAATAAAAACGTACGCATAGGTAGCTTCGTATCAAAGGATTGGCGGCAGGTCGGCGCGAGCTCATAATAACATTTTCAACGTTTTTTTCAGGATTTCGTTTGGTTGAAAGCCCGCAGACGCGCGGATGGATCTATGTAGTATGTGTAAATGTGCATGCCGACCTCACAACCTCTGGCTCCGCAGTCTGCACGGAGATGTGTGCACTGCTCTGCATCTCTGCTGACACCGCCACGAGCTTTTTCATCGATACTCTAAAAGAGATCCTTCTGTAGGATTTTGCTGCAAAAATAAGTAGTTTCTGGATTTTTGGGGGTTGAAAGCCCGCAGCCGATCGGATGGACATGTGAAAATATTCGCATTGATTGCATCTATCTGCCGGCGTGCCGGCCTCCTGACGTCGGTCTCGGCAGTCTGCACGAGATGTGTGCACTGCTCACCATCTCTGCTGACACTACCACGACATATACATTGCTCTGCTGCTGCTGGAAACTACGAACTTGGGGCTGACTCTGTGTGTGTGTAGTTTGTTCAGCAGTCCGAGACGCAATCATGGCCTCATCGCCATCATCATCAGCAGCAGAAGAAGGACGAAATTATTGAGCGGCGTCATCAAGACGTGTTTTCCTGTTCTTCTCCACACACACACACACACACACCCTCGAAATGGGCAACGAAGAACTAGTCGTGTATGTAGTTCATTCAGCAGTCGGACTCAATCATGGCCTCATGGCCATCATCAGCAGAACGATGAATTGATTGAGCGGCGCCAGCTGGTGCTGGTTGTTCTGACGTGCTTGTTGGTGTGGCCAATCAACTGTCGGTATGTGGTTGAACGTGGCAAACAGCTGTCATTGCGTACGTATTTGGTTGAATGGGTAGTCTTCTGCCGGGCTGTTCGATGAGACATGTCACGACTGGCCCGACGCACGACGCGACAGCTGCTGAGAATCAGTGCAAAGTCTTCTTACAGCTTACAGCCCTACCTACGAAATACAAATCTATAGATAGTCGTATTAAGAATAAATTAATACACGCACAGAAAGACTACCCATTCGAGATATGCCCACAGTCGAACGGAATGTGGTATATACATATATATATATCACAACCTGACCTAGATGTTACGCCTGACTCTATAGATAATACGCCGAGAAGGCGGGAAAAATAAAAGCTGAGTTGCATGCGCGCATCTAAGAACCCACGATCAATGCGCTGCGAGGCGGAAGCTCAAGCTTCCATTCATTACCCCCCGCCCCGGGTCTAGCTATAATTAGTAAAGGAAGAAGTCCTCGTCGTAGAGGGCTAACTGTAGTGCGCATGGACTCTTCTTGTTCTTCTGTATCATCAGCACACGTTTTCTTTTTTCTCTCTTTTTTTCTCTCTTTTTTGTAACCCGCGGGTGGTATTTTGGCTCTTCAATGAGATACAAAAATTTTAGCACCGCGGGTGTTCTATTCTGTGGGGGGTGTCTTATCTTCTGTGGGTGTTATATCTGGTGTCGTATACGGTACATGGCACAAGTAACTATGCTGTACTTGACAATTGAAGGAGGTGGGCTAAATCAATTCATCACGTAAACGTTTTGGATGGGAACGTTATTTCTCATTTCGAAAACGATGATTTGGGTGGGAACGGTAATTATCTTTTTCACGGGATCGCGGGACGCGGTAATTCCCGCGGTTTTATTTTTACTGCGGTATAAATACCTCGGAGGATTTAACGACCACAGCCGAGCCCTGGGAAAAATCAGCTTTGAAAAATACAACAAAAAATCATGTCGAGGTTGGATGATTGGCCACACCAGCACAGAAGACCAATATCCAGCACGGCAGCAGTCCACATCGATGACATACTACACACGAACCCACAACAAGGAGACGAATCTGCCTTCGCCCAATGGCGGGCAACGGGACCCCTGATACATGGGTTGTCCGCAGATGATTTTTGAGGCACTCGACTGCTGCCAGCTGCGCACATGCAAGGAGAGGAAGGAGGTGAGTGGACCCTATACGACCCCATGCCCGCGCTGCAGAGGAGGCGTACATCCTGCATAATCTTCGGACTTATGCATGGGAGGGTAGTTGTAGAGTTAGCGTGCGTGCATTGTCGTGTTGTCAAATAGGGCGTACGGTCCATTCCACCTATGAGTTGGTCGATACACTTTGATACCGCCTTTTTTTTTGTTTTGTCATATATATTAGGGTGTAAACGGGACGCCTAACGAAGTCACGCCACCTTGGGTGGATCCCGCATGTAAATCTACCGGCGGACCCCGCATGCGACCAAAGTGAACAAAAGATCCTATGTAGTGTTGGCTCTCAAGCTTGGACCCATGTGGGCACACAGGACACACACCAGCCACAATAGCCCGTCTGCGCACTACCACAGCCGCATCGACGGGTGCTCCCGATGGCTGCTGAGGTGGGTCTACAATATGTACATCGTATTGCTGTAGCAGCGTACCACGCACGGTGCGGTAAAACACAAGTCAGTAGTCGATCGTTCATCGGCGCTTACCTTTTGTAGACAAGAACACCCCACCCCACCTCTCCCTGACATGGATAGGTTACGCTGTCCAACCTTACTGTAGGGGTCGCGTCGTCGGGTCGTCAAGCTACGGGGGGCCAACCACCCCTTTCCTGGTAGTGTGTGCCCCGTGTTTACCCAAATCTATGTGTTGGTACGTCATGCAAGGCTGCGGGTGCATCAAATTCCACATCGAACCATTTCATTCATCCGTACAACATGCATCCCCTACTTCTGCCTTACGTCACTGCGTCGAAGGCTGCATTGGAGAGTGCGTCTACCGAAAGTCGCGTGTTTATCGACTCTTGCGGGGGGTCAGGCATCGCCGGAGAGGAGCACCGCATCCCTCTGGGAGGATGCAGACTCGACAATCTCTTGGAGGACCAGCTTGCTAAAGTCGCCGTAGCTGCTTCCGTTCTGTTGGGGAATGGCAACAGGCCCCTGTACGCCGCGTCGTCACACCCGCACACTACGCGGAGTGTGCACAGTCGCAAGGATCAGCAGATCTTACTGATCGCCCGCTGCTTGTATCCGGGTGGCGGCGGTGTTGTCGGGCGGGAAGAAGACGGTCGGAGACATGTGGCAGTCAACCGTCAGGAACTCCACGCCATCGCCCTCGTCGGGCGTTTGAAGAACCTGTGGCCCCCGTATGTCGATCCCGAGTTCGGTGAGTGGGTGATCTAGGGCGACCAGTGCTGGTTGTAAAGAGCATCCTCCCATAACAGTGCGTCGCTGTGGTCGTTAGCCTCAACACTTTTGCGAGCGAGGGTTGCTCTGCGCTACAGCAGTGGCGGGTACGATTTAAGAGAGACTATTATTGAAGAGAAAGATCCGTTTGGAGGGTTATAACACATCTCGTGATGATCATGAGAAATACTGCCTTGTGATGATCATGAAAAATACGTACATTTCACAGCAGTACGGTTTACGATAAAATCGGGGTGGAGAGTGAAATACTGGCATCTGATATCCCCCTCTTCCCCCGTAGCCGCCACTATTGTATGTACAGCGTGCTACGTTTTCACCCGTGTGGCAAGTCCACAAGAAAAAAACAATACTGGTATACGTTATAGTCTAGGGGATCCGCGAAAAACTACCCCTCGTAAGGCCCCATTTGGGGTTGCCCAGCGCACCATCTGGTGCACACCTTTGTCACAGCTGGTGCTCCTCACTCAGGTAGCTGCGTGACATAAAACTTCCAGGATGCCTGAAGCCTGTCGTGTTGTACACGCGAAGACATTTGGTTTGGCCTGTTTTCGCTTAGAATCTGGCAAATGCGGTGCTATCCAAAGTGCAAGGGCTGCTGCTTCAAGCCCGATCCGCAGCCAGCTCTAACATCCAAAGTTTACGCTGCTATACCGGGCGAAGGATTTGACAAAGTCGCTCTAGACTTCGCCAGAGTGGATAACGTAGGCATCCCAATCCAACTATCACGACCAGATATACCACCATGGGGCACACGCTCGAAGAGGTGCGATGGCGATCGGCGTCCTAGGTTCCAAGAACAAATGTGGAGCTGTGCTCACGTTGCTGTCAGTTTAACTTGACGAAAATAAGTGGTACGTGCGCGACAGCAAAACATAGCCGACTCACACAAGAGAGGGAGGTCGGCGGCATCGAGCCCAGATGCTGTCGTTGCCTGCTGTATGTCCAGGCACTGATGTGCGTACGCAGTCTGCTCTGCGTGTGTTGTCTGTTGTGTGGTGTCGCCCGCAGTGCGTGTGTCCTCGGCAGCAATCCACGGAGTGGTCGGAAAAAAAAGAATACCAAAACCGAACAGACGGCGCGGCAGACTTTCTCGTCTTGATGGGTAGGGTTGTCACCCGGTCAATCTGAGTGGAACCGGGTACCCAGTGAGGTCTGCGGGGGTGTACCCGGTCAATACCCGGGTCACCCGGTCAAACTGGATACCCGGGTACCCGGGTACCCGGGTCACCCGGGTATTGGAGGCACTTTTGGCCTTGAGGACATGACAAAGGGTGCAATCCATACGCTGGTTGACAAGGGCACATTGGCCTCGGGGGCGTGACCAGGGATGACCTGATTCGAGGACCATGCCGAACAAAATCCGCGCCTCCCTCTGTCCCATGTCTACATAATACCCGGTCGCCCCGGTGGTCTAGTTGGTAGCCTCGGAATCTTCTAGAGGTCAGGTCAGGGAAACGAATCCCGGCGTAGGCGAGCTTTTGTTGCAAAGTTAGTTTTTCTCTCGCTTCCGCTTCTGGTCCAGTGGATAGCGCTAGTTCGTGTGTACACAGAGGGAAGAGAGTGCTGAACTCTTCTCGCATTAAAAATCGAAGGCAAAGTACCGCAAGAGGGGAGGGTAGAGAGGGGCTCTTCTGTGTGACCACGGGTTGGAGTAAACGCCACTAGTGCTGTGAGCGCTGATTTGAAGTGAAGACAAACAAAAATAATACTAATAATAATGTCTTATGTCTCATGTCCCTACACGATGAACAGCAGTCATCGCTTTGCTTATTTTCTCTGCTTCTGCAAGCTGCAAGACTTGGCAAACGTTACCACCCCATGTACAAGGGTGCTTCGCACACCCCCCTCGGGGGGGTGCGGGCAGCGCGCAAGACCCGCAGAGAGTGAAAAACAGGTTGAGGCGCAAGGCGTTTCATTGTGTCAGTATCGACACTGGACGGCAAGTGTCGGAGGCGCTTAGCACGACGAGTGTTTTGAGGCCCATGTGGAATAATGGCACCCATTTATTTACGGATATCGCTTATTGGGGAAAAAAACAATAAGGAAGGGGCAGAAGGTTACGCCATGTGCCGCTTCTCTATCTAGCGGCACGCTCCGGAACCCCCCCCCCCCCTTTTCTTGTTCGACATTATGTACAGCAGCAGGTAGTCATCCCCCCTCCTTCTCTGCCGTATGTTTACTTGGCTTTGCTGCACTATTTTTTTACGCTTCCGGGAAGGCGAGGTGCTGGCTCATGGTACAGTAGGGGTACGCTGTGCGGGTGTTTTAGTAACGGGTGTGGCTCCCTGTGCGTGTGCTGTAATTTGTGTCTGCTGTGTGCGCAGCCTTGCGTGCACTTTGGGGGCGCCGTGTATCGAAAAGGCCAGATACCCGGGTGACCCGGGTACCCGGGTACCCGTGTATTAGATTGCCGACAATACCCGGGTATCAAAATCAGTACCCGGAACCGACCGGGTATTAGATTGACCGGGTGACAACCCTATTGATGGGGTCCTATATTGCGGGGAGACCTAAGGCCAGATTATAAATCTCCCTTCGCTCGACTAAGTTACCCATTATACCCCGACGCTCACCACCAAATCCAACAAGTTGAACTTGGAATATCCTTTGTGCTATAGATACTGGTCTTGCTACAAAAGGTTGGTCGAGGCCATAGCACTGCGAGATGTTATCGACACAAGAACGAAACTTGACCAGATACGGCAGTTGTCGGACGGTAGTAGACGGTGTCCTCGCACGCAAGAAATTATAGGGGTGTTCATAGCTTCCTGTTATGGTATTTGGAGGTAGACAAGTGATCGTGGTTGATCATGGTTATTTGGCGCCGTCGGATGATAAGACGTGACGTCATGCTAGATCAGGGCTTTATGCCGAGACATGTGCCCTTCTGTTCAGTGTGTGCGTACAGGTGATCTATGATCGCGTGTGCGTGGGATATTGTGAGTTGGCTTGGAAAGCGTTAATCAAGAGAAAGAGAACAACGGAAAGCAACAACAACCTGCTACTGTGGTCGGACAAGAGAGTTCCACACAGCTCAAAGGTGATTGATTCTGAAGGAAGGGGTCAAATACCATTGCACTGGCGTTGTTGGTTTTGGTCGTGTTGCTTGATTCTTGCGTTCAATTGATTTTGATTTTTTCGCTTTTTTGCAGTCGTCTGCTGAATAGCGGCAGGGCAACAGCCTTGGCCCTGCTTCAGCATGTCGGCTCCTGATGAGCCGCGAGGTAGCAGCGACTCTGCTGCTTCGACCCCGTTCCCTTTGTCGCCGCACAACACTCCTGATGATGATGATTCGCATGCTTCGCGTAGCTCGCTCCGTGTTGATAAGGATTCGCCGAATGCCTTCTTGCATGTTCGCGGTCGGACTTTTCAGCAGCAGCAGCAGCAGCCACGATCGCGATCGCAGTTCGAACGCACGTTAGCAGACGTAGACTCTCAGGAAGATGATGTTGCACGATCGCACACTGAAGGCCTTGGTCGCGCGCCGCGCTCCAGGTCTGTACCCTCTCGTGATTCAGCTCGCCGCTGGTCATCAGATGTGGCACACCGCCTTGAGACACCTGCAGAAATGCAGATGCGCTCGGTGGTTCCACGCGCACACTCACACCCCGCATCCAATTCCGAACACAGCAATGTGCCGAAATTGGATGGTGAAGGCTCTCGCTCTCCGAGTTTGATTGAAGCCTCACGCACGCACACGAATGACGCTCACAGCTCCATTGTGCGCGTGTCGGACGCCCCCAGTGGCGCGGTCGAGTCTAGTACTCCTGCCCCTGGTAGCCCAGCTGTCGCTGTCGGCATGTTTGAACCTCAGAGTTTGAATTATTCCGACGCCAGCCCGGCTGCATCCCATTCCGAGCGCGGGTATGTGCCGAATGTGGATAGTGTTGGCTCTCACTCCACGAGTTTGATCGATGCCTCACACACGCACTCGATTGGAGTTAGCAGCTCCGTCGAACGCACGTCAGAACGCACCAGCGGAGCAGTCGCCTCGAGCGATTCTGCCCCTGGTCTCGCTGTCGCAAGCCCCCGAGAAACTATCAAAACGTTCTCTCGGCTGCATGCCGACACCCCTTCTTTATCGCATTCCGAGAACAACACAAATGTTTCGGAGATGGATGGAGATGGCTCTCGCTGTCAAAGTTTGAGAACCACTGCGACCTCACAGCAGTCGGATACCCTGAGATCCGCTGATGGTGAGACACCGCAAGCCACCAGCGGCTCATTTGCTTCCAGCAACCCTGCCCCGCCTGGTGCCGCGCATGATGCAAGCGACGCTGTGCACTTGTGTACCCGCGTCCACAATCACGTGAATACACAGATAGTGAATATGTTCCGACCGGCAACCATGCTTCTGCCCCTGTCCGACCGATGCAATTGCAGGCAGAGACGTAGAACCTGTATCTAGTGTATCTTTACCCGCCGTAGACGAAGATCGTACCCCTACAGCAGCCCCTCCTCTCCCATTTTCGCCCACACGTGTGCAAACTACGAGTATGCCTGTTGTTAGACGGTCACGGCGTCTAGGTGGTAAATCGATCTAGCACGGTCAACGGCCGCCCCAACGCGGCCTGTGCCTGCCCATGAAATTACCGAAAAAAGACTACACCCAGTTGTACCCCATGGTAATGCACTCTCGTCTGTTGGACCTTCACACAGCTCACCGGCTCTAATGAGCATGGTTTGCAGCAGGCTCGCACTTACCCTTCGAGGTATGGTTCGCAGAGCCCCTCGCTCACCGATCCTACGGGATTTGGTTCGACGCGAAACCCTCCCACCGACTCACAGGGGTTCGGTGCGGAGCCATCGCTCACCGATCCTACGGGATTTGGTTCGACGCGAAACTCTCCCATCGACCCACAGGGGTTCGGTGCGGAGCACACGCTCACCGGTCCTTCGGGATTTGGTTCGCAGCACATGGCGCTCACCGGCTCGAATAAGCTTGGTTCCGAGCCCCAGCACGCCGGCCCTGCGGG